ATATATAATGAATGGTCTTTTCAATCATGTTGTGTGCAAAAGCAGACTGTAAGAAATACATAGTTCATATAAGTATAAATTGAAGCTCAAACATGCAAGGCCCTATTTACAGCTCTCTGCTAACTTAAAAAGAGCGTGCACCATATTTACACTGCAGGTTCCTATGAGATTTTGCACATTACTGCATGCAAGGTAAGAGCAGCAGAGCTCTGGGAACCATAAGTTTAACAAACTGCATCATAATTTGTTGCAGTATTGCAGCTTCTAATTTCCATTGGGCATTTTTTTCCATACTCTACTGAGCTTGTTCAGGGAAACACTATAAATCATGGTGTGTCAGGTCTATTGTTTTCCTAAGTAGTAGTGCAACATTTTCAAACATGTCCTATGTCTGAGTTGGAAAGCATTGTGCACAACACCACTTATTAATATGTTTGTTTATTATCCTCACAGCCCCAGACCCTTCAGCTTGACTTTCTGATGAAGATTTTGCCAAACTACCACCATCTGAAGAAAACTGTTAAAGCTAGCCACAACGCTAGCTAAAATGTAGCTTTGTTCTGCTACTTCTTATGTTGGATTGTAAATGGCGAGCAAACCCATTATTTATATAGACCTGTCCAGAAGGAAGCATGAATGTATATATAATATGTACCTAGCTTCAACAGTGCTTTTTCTCACTGACTGATAAATATTTTCTACTCTAACAGCTGATTAAGCATTTCATCTTTATCTTGCTGTGCTGATGTATCCTTTTCTATAATTAATTAAATAACCTCAGAACTGCTGATGGTGTGCTCCATGTACTCATTTATGATCAAAGTGGTTACCAGTAATTTTATTACTAGGTTGTAAATAGTGCAGTAAGAAAACAGGAGTTATTAGAATGTTTTCAGTGTATATGCACAATTTGAAAAGAAGACACAATGCCAAAACTAAATGAGACAAGTTTCCGTCTTCTCTATCAAAATGAATGACAACACTTTAAAGGGAAGCTGTTATGCTTATCTTCAGGTTCATACTAGTGTAGAGGGTTTCTACTACAACTATTATACCCTTTAATGGTCCAAGAAAACCCTCATAATGTCTGTGCTGCAACACCTGTACTCACTCTCTATTTGGGACACTCAATTTTAGTGCCCTGCATTCATGTATTAGTAGTAGTATATAGTATTGCGATGTTTTTGTGTGGTAACATCGCATTGTCACATAGTGCAAAGTATCGATTTTTTTAATTATATAAATTATTAATATTACAAATACAAATTAAACTTTAAGTAGCCTACGAGAATATGAGAAACAAAGTTCATTTTGCTGCAAAAAAATGTCTGAAGTGAGATGAACAGACTGAAAACTTTATCTTATTAGATAAAATAGATGTTGACAAAGTTTTTCTTTGGGGACATAAATTGCAGTTGAAAAAAAGGTAATAAATCGCAACATTTTATCACAATACTTAGTATATATCGAATCGTGGATCTTGGTGATTCCAACCTATAGTACACAAGTTGTCGAGTTGATGTCATATGACAGAGACACATGGTGGGCAAAAGCAAATGTTTGGGTGATGTTAAGAAACTTTTTATTAATTCACATATTGCGTATTAACTTTTGCTCCTGTGTAATATGGTTTATTATATTGTAACCATTAGTTTATTAGAGTGAGCTAGATTAGATACAAAAATGATTTATTAGTACCTGAAAACAAGTCAGGTAAAGCAACATTTTAGTGGTTTGAGAGAATGTACTTGTGCAGCAACAAGTTTGGGACAAAATCACATTGTAATATAAAGTTTCAAACTGTTAAACTATACCTGGATAGCAACATCAGTCTTCACTCTGAGCAACAAGACACGACACATCTTATCTATAGCGTCCATGTTGTTTCTACATTACAACTTAAAAGCTCATGGATGCACCAAAGTCAGAATAGCAACTTCCCAACTCTGGAAATGGGACCATTTGGGAAGCACATGAATACAACACGAGCCCCCCTTCTGTAAAAGCCCAGTCTGCTCTGATTGGGCAGCATTTCCGGGTCTTTCGAATCAACTGTAACGGAGAAAGTGGCACTTTCTACCATGAAAAATGACGATTAAAAGCTTCAAACAAAACCAGACATGTTCCAGAAGGAATATGATCCAAAACTGGGGAGAAACTGAACATATCAGCTCTCAGGTTGACATCTTTCCCTGCCATTAGCACGTAGCTTCATTTAGCTGTGTAGGCCACATAATGGAAATTCTTGCAGTAGCGTGCTTGGAGCAAATGACCATGTGAAGAAATTCAGCACACTATGATGTCATACTGTAGCCAGAGTAGAAAAAACATTGGAATTAGAGTATTCAGGATGGTCTGAAGTCTGAGGTTTTCGCTACTTTTGCATATGTTAACCTCATTATTTGATACTTTGGCTGCGTTTAATATGAACATCTGACATTGTACCACTATATCTAACAAACAAAATATGGAAAAGCACAATAGGTCCCCTTTAATGTTAGCATCTGATCTAATAGAATTGTCATCGCAGTGCATGTAAATCAAGCAACAAGGCTGAATCCTGTAACAGTGTAATTTATTAAAATAAATTCAAAAAGTTTTAAACCACTATGCCACAGTGGTGCAAAGTAAACAACTTTAAATACTTTGAAATTTCACAAGAAGTAACGTCCAAGATGTTTCATGCTGGATGAGAGACCTCAATGTGATGCCCTGCACAACACAAGCCTGTCTTCTGCTATTCCTATTACAAGGATGGAAGGTTGCCATCAGGTGAGGACTGCTGCCCTTTAAAATCAAAGCTTCCACTCACACCTCTGTGATGTACTAAATAAAATGAAGAAAAAAGTATTTACACACTTAAACCTCATTTACATTTTAACAGTTCGGATGCAGCATCCCCTTTAAGGATGGTGGTTTTGGTAAGGGCATTCAGTGTCCCTAAATGGTCTCAGTACCCTTTTCCTCCAGTGTCCTTCAGTTATCACTGATCAATAAACTAATTAAAAAGGATTCCACAACACAGTTGCTATTCACTCCATGTAATACAAGACCACTGATCACTGAGAGGAGTGCAAAGAAAGGAAAAGCAGCTAGGTTTGAAATAACAGACAGCCATAAAAAAGTCTGTATCGTAGTGTGGCCAGGGTCTCCGTCTCCAGCCGTGTCTGATTTACAGATTCTCCATCACTCCTCTGAGGGCATGAAGCAGCAAGAGAGAGGATCTCACTTCTTTACAGGAAGACCGTCTGAATAGTCCTCCAGTACGCCTGCCAAATGGTTGTTGTGAGTCTTGAAGTGTCTCTTCCTCTGCCCACCTTGCTTCTTCCTCTTTTGAACCGGTAACTGCAGGGAGCACAGAAACACAGTCAGCAACACTGATTTAAGATGCTTCATTAACAAGGTACAAATGTCAACAGTCAGTGTTAAATGTTAAAACCTTTGTTTCTAGTGAAATAAAGGTGAGTATATTTAAATTTGGAATGAAAACGAAGCAGACGGGAGACCAGGGGACACCGACCACTTTCTTTGGTCCTGTTTCTTGCATGGAGGAGATTCCTTGTTTCTTCAGGTACTCCTCGATCTTCTCTTCGTCCATGGAATCAACTGGAACGCTCCTCCACAATTTCTGGAATTCTGCAATTAACAGACAAAGGTTTGAGCCAATAATACACTGACTGAACATCCAGGCCCCCAATTATTTCATAATTCTGATCATAATTCTCATTAAATAACAGCTGGGATAGGCTTTAGCTCCCCCACAACCCTGAACAGAAGTGGTTACGGATAATGGATGGCTGGATATAAAATAACAAAACAAACTCAGCGCAGGACTGGATACAAAGTACAAAATGAAAGAGACAGTAAGCTTAAAAGATGATTTTGATGTAGATAATTATATCTGCAAAGAAATTAACATGTATAATAAAGGGGCAATAACCATGAAAATGTTTAAATTATTGTGTATTTTGTATGTTTGATCAACCTAATCAAAAAATAGAAAATATAAACTTATTTTATCAGACTAGCAGTTCAAACTGAGATATTAAATTGACAAAAAAGACATTTAATGTACAATGACATGAAATGGTGAAAGGCAAATCCAAATCTAAACGTAGGGCTCGGCAATAGAGAACATATCACTATATATCTCACCAAATACCTTGATATAGACTACTGGTGCTTTGACAAAATATTATCACAATGATATTTTTGATTAATAATCATCATTGATGTGGATATAATGACTAAGTGGGTAAAGACAAATAATAGAGCAGCTAGAATAGTCTGGCAAGTTCAGAAAATGACATCACTTTACTGTAATGCAGCCTTTAAAACCAGGAAAAGAGAGAGAGAGACAGAGAGAGAGAGAGAGAGAGAGAGAGAGAGAGAGAGAGAGAGAGAGAGAGAGACGCTTGTTTTTTGGCACCTATGAAAAACCTTTTGAGTCTTTTGATGGAACATGACGGGTAATAGAGGATTAGACACATATTCTGACCTAATGACAGCGTCAGAGGAAGGGTGTCACACCTTTTTTTCCATCTCTCTTGTTTAGCAAGATGGTATAACTCAATGAATTACTGTCATTTGTGGTACTCATAACTGTAGTTTCAGTAAATGAACTTAACGACTGAATTGTAGAGAATCTAACCAAGCTAACAATGTGTAGCATCTCCATACTGACAGAAGTTTAAACATTTATATCTGTATGTGCAATCTTAACAGCTAATTGATGTTAGCTCAAATGGGTAGCCAACAACCTGTTGTACACATCCAAAGAACTTCTATAATGATTTGGTTTATTCGTCCAAATGTGTAGCCACACCGGCCTGGTAAAACTGACCAGATGTTTACTATATATTGCCCAAGCCCTATCTAACCTCAAACCTTTGTATGGTAGCGGCTAAAGAGCCAAAGTGTGATGTTTTATATCTTAATGTGACAATTTTAACAATTCCTTGATCATCTAAATCTCCACATTAAATACAGACACTCAGTGACAGACAGAAATACAGCCAAGACAAACAGACAGTTTCAATTTGAGAGAGAGCCATTTATTACAGTTGACTGACAAAGCTGACTTATGCTCACCTTCATCCACCATAAACTGGCAGTGCTTGTCATTGTAGAATAGGATCTTCTTCTTATCTGGTCTTGTCACAAAGATAATTTGATCCCCCAAAGCCTGTGAGACACAAATGTGTGTCCCCTCCATTAATAAACATAATGCACAGTACACACTAGGCGACATCTTTGTGCAGACATAACTGTGCTTTCATATGAATGACATTTCTTGTGTGCTACCTTGATGGCCTTGGCTGAGTTGGGCAGCCCCTCCTCTACGTCGTCCAGCAGCACCCCTCCCAGGCCCAGCTGGTCGTGTTTGTCCAGCAGCCTCAGTAAGGCTTTCTTGTCCTTCAGGTTGTACTTGGGCTTGAAGCCATACGTCCCATCCCGGACGTCAATTTTCGGGTTGTTGACCAAGGCCTTAGATTGTCAGAAAGTAAAGAAGTAGATGTCAAGTTTTAAGTAGCTAGTTAAGTAGTGAACCAGCTGGAAGATGTCAATGTGTATTTAAACGATTTTGTGATGTAAAAATTATGTGAATTTATACAGGCTAATTATCTGCAAACCTTAAAGGGTATTTTTCCAACCTGGACCATATTTTCCCAGGTGTTTGTGTCTAAGTGACTAACGGGGATAAAAATTGTTGAAGCTGGTCCAATATTGAGCGAGAATGCTGGAGCCGGCAGCTGTAAAAAAGGCTGCAATGTAATCACTCAGGGCA